AAATATCTCACATCACATTGAAACTCAAACCTTAGCATCAACCCCCTGTCGGAGAAGAAAATCCAGACGCTGGAGAAGGAGGCTGACCGCCAACCGTCGCAGTACCGAAACCACTGTTAACCTTAAAAAAAAGTAAAAATTCCTCATACCTACTCGAAATTCAATTTCGAGTACCCCTGTGGCCAAATTGGAGCAAAATAGATGGCGGATGAGCTAAAATCACGAGTAAAGCCCAGCGGAGCCGCTACGGCCAAAACCTTAAAATCCCTCTAATGAGCCCCTTCCTGATTCCTGTTTTACATAATTTTTTGATCGTTGTGTTCACCGTCCTTTTTTGTACAAGTTAGTCGAAGAAAAAACATCAACCGTAAAGGAGAATCGGCAGAGCGACCGCGCCTAGAGGTTCCCCTACTGGTAGGTTCGGTTTTTTATAGTTTTTCGGCCAACTAAGACCTTTAACGTATTTTTTTTCAGGAATACGGCCAAAACCACCCAAAAAATGATCAAAACCAGCCAAAACTAGCTAGGCCAAGGCGAACTGCCGTTGTGGGCAGCAGAGCCGGTGCCGGAGCACGGCGGTGCCGCCGTGTTGGAACCCCAAAATTGGCCAGAATGAGTTTTAGACACCGATTTTGGATTTTTATAGTATTTTTAGGTACGTGACAAGTGTTTTGGATTTTGTAAAAAAAATTCAGAAAATTTGATACCCGTTATGAAGCGTAGTAGACAGTGCGATATCCCGAAATACGGACCTGGGTAAGAATCCCTCACCCTATTCTCTGTTACAGTAAATTGAGGTTTAATAATCGATAATTGTGTGTTTTTATGAAAAATTAGAAAAACTTAAAAATAAATTACAGGTTACTGGTGGAGTCAGAACCGGTTAATGCACGTTTGTCATGATTCCCAGTTTATTTTCATGTTATACCCTGAATTGCTTACCATTACATTGTGCATGCTTGCATTGATAGTTTAGATAGTCTTCTTGATTATCTGAGTTAATTGGTTCCTTCCTGCATAGTTTATCTGGTTATCTGATTACTCGGTTATTGGTCATGATAAGTTTAATTGCTTGCTTAAATGTCGTTTTATGGATCTATGAATATAAAATGAGATATGGGTATTGCGTGGTTAATTGTTATGAAAATCTGTATGTGAAAGACTTGTTGGGGACTCGAAAAATGGCAGACGGACCCGGTACATAAGGAATCCTACCGTGAACGTTATCTTAGTCGAATGAGGTGGGGAAGTCCCTTACCAGTAAGGTTTGGGAGATATGATTCACCCTCATACCGAACGGGGTGTCGAGGTGGTGGAATGTTTGGCGCCCATTACCAGACCGGATATGGGGATGACTGGTTAATTATTAAATTGGATATTTAGTTCACGAGTATGAGGACATCCCTATGGACCCCTAAGAGTACCGGTAAGCGGGTAAAAATAAAAAGTGATCGTCTCTTGTTATCTTATATGTGAAATAAAAAGTTTATGGATGTAGGTATTCAAAGGTTGTTTTTAAAAAAATTTGTTACGTCAATACAGAATAAATGACTTTCTTTATAGTAAATGAATTTACATTAAATTAAGGGCTCCATTAGTTGTTTTTCTGATTTTTTACCAATTTTTAGTTTTTTGTATATGTGATTAGTATGATATTCTTACTGGGTTAGTGTAGCTCACCCTTTCATTAACTATTTAATATCAAGAGTACTAAGATCCATATCCCGATCAACAAGAAGGTTATGAATAGTTCACCACCCAGACTCTCCTTCAAAAGCTAGTGAAGGTCATCCTAGGATGCTTAGTTATTTATTTTTCGTTTATTTCTTTAATTTTCGTTTGTTCTTTTAGAAGAGACATTCTCGTAGCCCTATTGGGCATTCTAAATTATTGTGTAAGGAATATAAACTCTAATTCTATTATCACTTCTGCATTTAATTTATGATTTATTTTCATTTAAGTCCGAGCTTCTATAGTTGGTATCAGAGTTGTGTTCTTCAGAATCATTCCTTACACAATGATCTAAGAAAACACCAAAAATAAATTATCTTTCAACCCTTCCTTCTGAAATGTAGATACAGATAGATGAGGAGATGAATACCCCTACTAAACTGAGCACCCCGGAGGATTTGCTTCGAGAGAATGTTGACTAACTCTTTGAGATGTTGGAGAGACTCATCACTACCCAACAGGTCCGGGAGGAAAAGAAGGAGTTACTTCACCCTCCTCCACTGCCACAGTTTGAGCCACCCCTTGCAGTGGGAAGATCTGGAGCCACCCTAGTACAACCCTACTCCTCCACCTTACCATTCAGCACCACCACAGTATAATCTGGTGCCTCCACCGCATCA